AATCACATATCATAGTGGTGTGCAATAGCTACCATGATCTAGATTTCTATTCTGGTTTATGATAGATCATGTTGCAGATGTTTATGTATAATCTAGTGTGTTTTGTATTCTTGTTGTTCTAAGGGACGCTCACGAAGTATATGATAACTGATAGTTAATCTCATTGGTATAAAAAAAATAAATTATATTTACTTTATTTGGCTTGATTACGGTGATTGTTTCAAATTAATTGGTAGTTTGGTTGATGTTATCGATATTGTGTTGAACAGGTAAGGCATGTGATAATATGATTAAAAGATGAGTTTGGGTTGTGGAGGATTGACTTTCTTTGTATGTTTGTTCAAAAAGACAGACTTGTTTCAGATTAATCAATAAAATATATGATGTGCACAAAAGATATCTAGAACAAGAATAATAGAATGTTTGTTTTATGTTTGAATATAAAAAATGAACGAAATGAATGTAATGTAGATAAAACATATGTTCTCGATTATAATGCAAACAAAAAATTAATGCTAGTATATAAAATCGAATAGAGAATAGAGAAAGCATGCAAGTACATAATATGTATTAAATGTTTGCTGAACTAAGATAAGTTTTGTTCATTATTGGTTTGAGCAGTTGGTAAGTTGTTTATTAATTCTGCTTACAAAACATTTGTTGGAAGATTGGTAGTAACGGATTTTTTGTTTTTTTTTCGTCGCTCTACGTAAAACATATTAAAACATTAGATATTTATTTAGATAATTATTTACCTAACATTTTCTTGTATTTATTTTGTATTTGTTTGCATTGTAGTAGTGATCGTTTTGGTCGTTTTCGTATAAGTTCATTTTTTGCATCACGACGATTACGATTACCTACAATTAATCGAAGATCCATAGCTGGTGTGTTTTTGAAGACGTTGTGATAGATTTGATGCATGTTTCTTTTAAATGGTTGAAATCGTTTTTCATGTTTATAATGGAGGAATAATCGATCTGCATAATTGATTGGCTTTTTCTGAATCTTTTCGACTGACTCTCTACATGTAGTTTCTGCAGTAACATCAGTTGGATCGTTAGCAACATCAGCTGTAGCTGCTCGTAATGCTGTTTGTGATTGTTGAGGTGTTGGTTGACCGAGTATTTCGTGACGTAAGAGAATATATTGTTGTTCATTTTCAATAAATGATAAAATTGATGTTGCATAAATAAATTCATTGAAAAATTTATGAAATTGTTGATCAATAAAAGACGAAGGATAACTGAAAATTATTGACAAATAATAATGAATATCATTCAAATAAAAAAAAATATGTACTGATACTTACCCATTATATAATAACATTAACTTGATAGAACGTCGTTCATAATTTAATATTTCAAATGATGATGAATATCGTACAGCTCTTGTAAGAATGGTTTGTATAATATTAACAAATACATGTCGAGGATGATCTGAACTAAATGGTACGACATATGGTTCAGCAGTTGGTTTATGATAAACTGATGTTGAAAGAATACCATTGTTATTTGTTAATAGAACATCAAGAAATGGAAGACTTTGACTAATTTTATAATCTAATTTAATATTTGGATGCCATTGATTTACTTCATTTAATAATATTTTCAATTCATCTTCTGATCTATTCCATGTCATAAAAATATCATCGATATATCTGAAAAGAATATAAGAATTAGAAAAAGTTTTCTGAAATATTCTATTATATATACCTTCCATAGAATTCATTGGTAATATTTTGTTGATGAACTAAGTCTTTTTGCCATTTCCACATAAATATATTAGCTAGAGTTAAAGTGAATGAGGAACCCATGGCACCACCTGTAGTCTGTTTGTAGAATTTATTGCCATAAACGAAAAAATTTTCTTTTAATACAATAGAAGCCAATTCTCGAATTGAATCAAGTGAAATTCCTTTCACTTTTGTATAACCATGAACATGAAGAAATTCAACCAGAATATCTAATGCTTCTTCTTGTGGTAACATTGTATATAAATTACGAATATCAAATGTACAAAAAAGTGTTGATGGTTTCATTGGAACTTTGTTTGCATACGTGTTCATAGCACTAATTAGCTGAGCACCATCAATAATCGCTGTTTTCTTAGATTTATCATCGAATATTGGCCGAAGAATTTTATCTAAAAAGTTGGAAATATTAGTTGTTGGTGCACGAATTGTATTTTCAATGGGTCGAAGTGGAATACCATCCTAATTCAACACAATAAAATGAAATATTAACATAGAAAACGTCTATCTTACCTTGTGTGTTTTTGGATTGAAATATAAATGAGCTAATTCAGTTGTTTTTCGATCAGGTATCATCTCGTTATATTGCCATACCCAGATAAATTTCTTTGATCGAAGATTATTCAGTAATTGCGTAACTTTGTTTAAAATTTCAGGTAATGGATTTTCTTTTATTATTATAAACGCATTTGTATCCATAAAGTATTGTTGAGCTTTTTTTTCAAATTCAATAGCTGAACCAATGTAAAAATTCTTACTTTTATCTGTGACACGAATAATAAGTTTCAATTGTTTAATTTTCTGTCGAATCGATGCAGTCGTTTGTGATTGTTCTTGAGCTTCAATGTGATCTTTGTATGGTAAGGGAGTAAAATAACAACTGTTCAAATAATTAAGAAGTTGATTTGCATAATCTTCAAAAATTACATGCTTTCTTGGTACATGATGATATTCTGTAAGATTATTTTGAACTTTAGTAAATATGTCTTTATGTTCACTTTTAATTTCGATTTCTTGTTGTTTTCGAGGACGAATTGCACTTTGATTTGTTCGTATATATGATGGACCTAAATGAATGAAATTTCAAAGTTTTCTTTAAAAAAAAGGAAACTACTATTTACCAAGTGAAAGATATTGCCATTCATGTTTAGTAAATGGATTTGACATCAAATCGAGATATGGTTCAGGTGATACACCAATGAAATTATTCTTTACTGATAATGGTTTACGATATTGAATTAATTTAGTACGGAAAATAGACAGTTTGCTCGAAATGGATTGTTTCATTTCATTTGTTCGATATGTTACATATCGATTAATATCATTTAATAAAGATATACCTTGAAGACTTGTATTATTTAATAATATTGACTCTAATTGAAGTACAATATCTTCATAGTGACGATTGTGTTCCAGTAATTTAGTTTCATAAACAGATAAAGAAATATGTAACCATTGACGTTTTGCATCTTGTATCATTTTATAACGTTTATTATTCAATTCAATAGTTTTACGTTCATTATTCAACGGTGTATAAGTAATAGGTGCAACTATCTTTTCTAGTTGATCAAGATCCGATGGTAAAAATTTGTAAAGAATTCGCATTTCTAATTGAAGAAGTTCTTCGAAAATTTGTATTTGCTTCTCTCGTATACTAATTAACTGATGAATGAATTGATCCTAAGAAAAGAAATATATAATTCTCTGTTAAAATCAAGATATATTCTTACTGTATTTAAATTAGAATAAGAGGTCATAATCGTTGCATATAATTTATTTGCTTGAATCTCATCTTGAAGTTTAGCTAGTTGTTTATTATTTTTTGTTAATAAATAGTGTCGTTGATGATCGACATATTCTTTTAGACAACTATCAACTTGATCAATTGATATAGGTATCATTGAATACGAACTAAGTTGAGCTGTAAGTTCTGTTTCATATTGATTAATTTGTTCGTTTAACTGTCCTATATAATTCGTAACATATTGAAAACATAGTTCATAATCATTTGTTTTTGATAACAGTTGAACTTCTTCCTATGATGATAATAATAAATAACCCAATAAAAACGATATTTAATATACAAAAAACAAAATTACCGGCCAATAATGCTCTGTACGACCAATCTCTAAAAATGATTTACATAATTGTAAATGAACTTCCAGACAATATTTATGATCTAATATAGTTAATCGTGTATAAATATATTGCTGTTTATGTTTGTCATTTAATGAATAATTTAATCTTTTGCTTAATGTTTGAAAAAGTATCCAAGATGATCGTTGTAAGTACATTGGTTGTCTATAATGATAATGAGTGAGAAATTGTATAGAAAGAACTAATGAAAATTACAAACGAACCGATAAACATAATTTAGAATATTATTATTTTTTTGTTGTATCATTGGCATTGTTGTTGTTGTTGTTTCTGTCTGTTGCTTCGCCTTTTTCGATGATGGTTGACGTATAGATATTGAACTTGTTGATTTGGGAACTACTGAATTTGCTTTTAGATCATGAAGTGATATATTTCGTTTACGTTTATTCAAATGTGTCGTTGTTGTTGTTGTTGTTGTTGTCGACTGTTTCGATTGATTACTTTCAAGTAATTTTTCGATTTCTGTTGCTGCCATTCCACGTTTACGACATTTTCGACGAAAACGTTGATCTCTTCGATTACCATGACATTTTATCTTTGGTTGTTGATTTGATAGTTGATCTTGATCTTGATTATTATCATCGTTGGCATTCATTGTGCAATAATAGTTATAGATCGATAGATTTATCTGAAAAGAGACAACAAGAAAAGCATGATATATGAAATAAATGATAGTTTAAATGAAATATAAAATTTAATCAAAAAGGAGAGTAGATTGAACTTTGAATTTATATATACATTTGATACGTTCACTGATTTTTTCACAACGTTGATTGATAATCTGAATTAAGGTTGAAGATAAGTTTTGATTTCCATCTATGAAAATATCATCTGTATATACTTTTTTTACATTCTCTTCAAACTTCTTTTGAAATTCTTCTTTTTGATCTTCAGCTGTTGTAAGATATAATGGAAATAAATTATTTCTAACATTTAAAGCTACTTCTTTGTATTGATTTAATAGTTGTTGTCGAATCTCTGCATTTTCAATTGTTCCAATGCCTGCTGCTTGAGCTAGAGGTAAATGTTGAAACGATTGATTAGGTGAATTGTAATAATCAATTTGTTGCTTCAAGAAATTATATTCTTGTTCTGTTGTTTCTTGTTCATATTTATTTTGACAAATCTTTTTCATTATTTCAATCTATAAAAGCAAATGGAATCAAAAAAAAGTATTTATTTGCAACAAAAAGAAATACTTGATATTGATTAGGATTATGTTGAATATATTGTAATTTCAATATGCGAATATGACAATCATAATGTATCAATTCAATTTGATGTTCAATTTTTAAACGAAAAGGTTGAATATGTTTTTCAATATATGTGTCTATTATTTTTTGAACCATTAATGAATAACCATCTATATTATTTGCTTTTGTATTCAATTCAGTTTTACATATATTTAATTGATGATCTAATGCATGTAAATGTTGATTGACAAACTTCAAATAAATTTCATGAGAATTTATTGCTTTGTTAACTTTCAATAAACTTGTAATATCTTTTGGCCATATCGGTATTGTTTCAGATGATATTATTAACTCTCCTCGACCTGATTTCAAATATGCCGTCCAAAGTAGATGATAAGTTTGTAGGATCATCATTTTATAGATTATAATTGCTACATCCCGTAATTGTTTAATATCGATAGTTGTTGTTGGACTTGTTGATTTTACTAATAATTGTGCCTGATATAACATTTGTTTAAATGAACTATTATGTTTTGTTAAAAAATTTGGAATTTTCTCAATTTCAGTTTTCATATCTTTCATGAGATGTCCTTCAGTATGTGTAGTATTTGTTAATAAATGACCCAATTGTTGTGATAAAATTAACTCCTTAAGTAAAGTAATGGAAAAAATGTAACAAAATTTTCTTAGTAATATATCTATGTATATTTACGTTTAGTTCTTGTATTTCTTGATTATTCTCAGTATCATCTTCTTCTTCTTCTTCTTCATCATCAGTTTCGAGAATCTTATAATTCCATGGAAGATCAGTATCCATTTTATCGAACTGTTGCAGATCATTTGTTCGTTGACTATTACCTGGCACATAATGCTGTCGTCCCAATGAAAATAACGTATCTATAATAGTAAAAAGATATGAGGGAAATATCTCTTAATACAGAATACTGATTAAATAAAAAGCACAAACCATGTCGAGTCGTGTATGCTGGTAATGAATGTGATTGAGCAGTTGTAGTAATAGCAGATCTTGGATATGCATCATGCTCTTCAAATTTATTAAACATCTCTAACCTTATGTTCACTTGCGATCTTGTAGAGCGAGTTTGATCTTGACTATAGCATTTCTTCATGACTATAATTGAAAGTAGATAACTAAAACGTGTGGGTGTGGGTGTGGGTGTGGGTGTGTATATTATATAAGATAATTCCAAGCTACTTA